GCCAGTCTGCACGCAATGGAGATGCAGAGCCCAACCTCCTGCCTTGATGATTCCCTGAGATTCTTCCCCCTTTTCTCCTGTAAAAACTGTCATGGCTGAGCAGAATCCTCAGAGCTGGTCTCTGGACACAAGTCCACCTTCTCCCCAGATTGCCAGCTTTTCTGATTAAAGCACTTTTCCCCTCTACTGACACTTGCCTCTCGAATGATTGGCTTTTGAGCAGGGAGCAGCTGAACCTGAGTTCGGTAACAGAGCAATCGTATATATAATATACACATCTATCTGTCTATGTATGTACCTATGTGTGCATATCTATCTATCTATCCATCTATCTAGGTGTATATGTGTATTGCTCAGAAAAAGATCTGATTTACAGGAGGCACAGTGATAGGCTCTAGCATTGATGCCAGGGCACTGCCACTATCTCCATAGCATCACCATCCCAAGACTTGCCAAGAGGATCCTCTGATAAGTACCAGCAGATAGCCAACTGAATGCGCTCTCTCATCTCTAAAAAAGGTCAGATCAAAAGTTCTGGGGCAAATGGATGTCCCTAGCTTCAAGATGGCAGAGGAGTGAGACGTGGAGATCACCCTCCACCCCACAAATACATCAGAAATACATCTACACGTGGAACAGCTCCTACAGAACACCTAATGAACGCTGGCAGAAGACCTCAGATCTCCCAAAAGGCAAGAAAGTCCCCAAGTATCTGGGTAGGGCAAAAGAAAAAATTAATTAAAAACAGAGACAAAAGAATAGGGACGGCACCTGCACCAGTGGGAGGGAGCTGTGAAGGAGGAAAGGTCTCCACACACTAGGAGCCCCTTCACTGGAGGAGACGGCGGGAGGCGGAGCGGGGAGCTTCGGAGCCGCGGAGGAGGGCGCAGCCACAGGGGTGCGGAGGGCAGAGCGGAGAGATTCCCGCACAGAGGATCGGCGCCGACCGGCGCTCAGCAGCCCGAGAGGCTCGTCTGCTCACCCGCCGGGGTGGGCGGGGCTGCGAGCTGAGGCTCCGGCTTCAGAGGTCAGATCCCAGGGAGAGGACAGGGGTTGGCAGCGTGAACACTGCCTGAAGGGGGCTAGCGCACCACAGCTGGCTGGGAGGGAGTCCGGGAATAAGTATGGATCTGCCTAACAGGCAAGAGAACATTGTTTCGGGGTACGCGAGGAGAGGGGATTAAGAGCACCGCCTAAACGAGCTCCAGATAATGGGCGCGAGCCGCGGCTAAGAGCGTGGACACCAGAGACGGGCATGAGACGCTAAGGCTGCTGCTGCCGCCGACACGAAGAAGCCTGTGTGCGAGCACAGGTCACTATCCACACCCACCTTCCGGGGAGCCTGTGCAGCCCGCCACTGCCAGGGTCCCGGGATCCAGGGACAACTCCTCCGGGAGAACACACGGCGGGCCTCAGGCTGCTGCAACTTCACGCCGGCCTCTGCCGCCGCAGCCCCGCCCCGCACTCCGTGCCCCGCCCTCCCCCGGCCTGAGTAAGCCAGAGTCCTGGAAGCAGCTGCTCCTTTAACCCCGTCCTGTCTGAGCGAAGAACAGACACCCTCAGGCGACCTACATGCAGAGACGGGTCCAAACCCAAAGCTGAATCCCAGGAGCTGTGCGAACAAAGAAGAGAAAGGGAAATCCCTCCCAGCAGCCTCAGGAGCAGCGGATTAAATCTCCACGATCAACTTGATGTACCCTGCATGTGTGGTATACCTGAATAGAGAACAAATCATCCCAAAATTCAGGCGGTGGACTTAGTGTGATTTTGTCTGTATAGCTTTGCTCTTACCATTTGTCCTAGGGGGTTCTGTCTGTCCACTTTTTTTTATTTTTTAGTATTGATTTTTAGT